AACTATGAACTACTATGGGCTTTTGAATTTATCAATTTTATAAATTATTTGGCGGCCTAAAAATGTATTTTTGTTCAGTAAAAGGCCCAGTTACCCCATTTACTTAGAAAAGCAACTTTATTCATATCCTGTTTTTCGTGCTCTATTGTTGTCTTTACGTCGCAAGTGATGAACGTGAAACTCTCTCGTCTTGATGCTGTCGCTGCTCAGCTTTTCTACTTTTACTACTTTTTTTTCAAACTGTAGCCATTAGCACCTTGAAATCTTGATCATCAGTCCCTTCACTTTCACTTGTTCATATTTGAGCTAGAAACCTCTTCGTAATTAAGCCCATGCTGAAATTGCTATCAAATGTGTTACAGAAGAGGTCAGGGGTAGGAAAGACAGACATTAGGCACTTGTAAGGCGGGTTACTGTGTGTCATACCCGTAAGATAATAGGCAAAAATAAATCTGACAGTAGCCCTGCAAGCAAAAAGCTCTACGGCATTAGTTGCAAAACAATGACATACCACTCAAATCGTAATAATCCGTTTCAGTCATACTGGTCGGCTTAGTAGTTTAGTTTTTTTTGATCATATTTCAGGTATCTTCGCTGATAACTGATGCCATGAGCGCAGAAAATTTGGCTCGGATGTTTGTTGGGTGGATGCCTTTCCTATAACTGATTATCCATCACAGTCGTTTCAGCTGCATAGTTGTCACGAGCACTTACTTTTTTAAATGTAAATACCTAAAAGCTTCTCTTATTGATTTTTGATTACAGTTGCGATGCGAGCCTATATTCGTGCTTCCTCTTGATTGACTTGACCTTATACGCATGTTATCCAAGAAGTAGCCTGAGCATCTTTATCACTTCCTATCATTACTGTCTTTGGTCTTCCACACTTTGATCTCTAATCCCCTTTACGTTTATGGGGACCGTGTCAAAACTTAGCGCCTTTCTACTTGCTGGTGGGCAACAACTGCCTATTTCTTGTTATGTACTACTTCTTCTTTTTCTAGTAGTCTATGGATCCATTCACACAATTCGTGTGCACCGTAATTTGTTTACCTTTTCATCTGAGACGTTTATTTATATTCTCGTATAAGCATGTCGTCATTTTGGATTATTGGATGGTAGCTTGTAACTAATCGGTAGTATTTCGTCATCTGGTAATTAGTTGTTCCTTTTTTTACAAGACGATAGCTTGCCAGCAAGAAAATTAAAAAGTTTTTACTACATAGTTTTTGAAAAAAAAGACGCTTTGAAAACAATGCGCTCTTGACTCGGCAGTACCAGACACAAAGCGTCTGCAGCGCATACGTACTAGTTACGGATACAACAGTTATAATCTCCTCCAAAAAAAGAAGGCCCACCGGAAACGGCCGCAGA